AAAAAATAATGTACTTACTTTTCTCCAGCACTCTCAAACAAAATAACACTTACTCACTATAATTTGTGTGATATACTATCTGTTTATATTTTTTAAATATTTTCTTAGCACTTCCCTTTTCAAGATTCAGGAAACGAATAAACGTATTTATAGAGTGACGAATTGAACAAGTCAGTGCAAGGTAGCGAAGCTCTGAGACTGCGACTCTCAGGTTTTTACAAGTTCAAAAGGTATTGCGACCACGAAGCGAATACCAACATCCTACAAGTTACACAATTTTATAAACATATATAATAAAGTTTTTACTTCATAGGTACTTTTATAAATAATGTATACGTTTTGATATTATAAGATAGTATGATGTAAGTAAATAGGTACTATCAGTGTATGTGTTGAGATCCACTATCGTGGACCCCCATATTCATTTCATGGACCCCCGAATTTTTTTTCGCTGACGTAGACCCCTTGCAGGTTGTCATAGACCCCTAGGGGTCGATATAGACCACTTTGGGAATCAATGGATTATACTAACGGTTGATAAAAATGTTTCGTTTCTTAGCTCCACTAACTCTCCTCTAATTTCAAGCTAGAACACAATTCTCCTCCTCAAGGACGAAACGGGCATTAAAACCAGTTACGGTCTCAATTCCATCAAATTACCTGTTAGACATCCCCAGTCCCAGACTCAATTTCTATGCGCTAACAGACTTTGCTAGAGAAGTGGCTTCGCCACACTTGACCTAAATCTTAACAGCGAATACTGGGTAGGGAGTCCATAATATGAATACAGGGAATGAAAATCTCTCTCAATTTCTTTAGCAATAACGGGTGTTTTTTTTAGAGGTATAGAACTTTAAATTGCAATAAAATAACGATGGATTGTTCGATTGACATGAATTTTTTTTATTCGAAAGATAATCTTGTGGCATTACATTTTAAATATGATTTTCGATGACTTTTTCCAACATTTGTGGCCGTATATCGGCAATAACATGGCGAATGTTGTCTTCCAAATGGTCAAGCGTTTGTGGCTTATCCGCATAGATGAATGACTTTACATAGCCCCACAGAAAATAGTATAGCGGTGTTAAATCACAAGATCTTGGAGGCCAATTCACAGGTCCAAAACGTGAAATTAGGCGGTCACCAAACGTGTCTTTCAATAAACCGATTGTAGCACAAGCTGTGTGACATGTTGCACCGTCTTCTTGGAACCACAGCTCCTGGACATCATGATTGTTCAATTCAGGAATGAAACAGTTAGTAATCATGGCTCTATACCGATCACCATTGACTGTAAGGTTCTGGCCATCATCGTTTTTGAAGAAGTACGGACCAATGATTCCACCAGCCCGTAAAGCGTACTAAACAGTCAGTTTTTATGGATGTAACGGTGGTTCGACATAGACTTGAGGATTAGCTTCACTCCAAATGCGGCAGTTTTGTTTGTTGACGTAGCCATTCAAACAGAAGTGCGCTTCATCGTTAAACAAAATTCGCTTATGAAAATCGGGAACAACGGCAATCTCGTTCTGGGCCCATTCAACGAATCTACGCCTTGCTTGATGATCGTTTGGCTTCAATTCCTTCCGCAAAATCTTCCATAAAGTGGATGGACACATCCAATTCCTGTGCTCGATGGCAGATGGACTCATTCGGGTCTTCCTAAATGCTACGCTCTACAGTAGCAATAGCTTCTTCTGTACGCACCGTACGGCTTCTCTGAGGATGCCAGTTATCAATTAGAGTAAACGTGGTGCGAAAACGTTCCATGATTAATCGAATTAACTGCTCTGATGGACGATTTTGTCGACGATAAAATGGACGTAGTGCGCGTTACGTATTCCGCACAGAACCATTGTTTTCGAAATAAAACTGCACAATTTGCAAGCGTTGTTCAGGCGTGAATCTGTTCATGAGGAATTGCCAAACCAAACTGAGAATAAAGCACTTGACAGCTGTCAAATCGGTCGCCATCTTCAAAAGTAATGCCAACTTAAAGTCCTATACCTCGAAAAAAAAACACCCGTTATGTGTGCGGCCACATACTGACACAGGTAATGAAATTATTTAGATCAAAAGATAGTTGTACTAAATAAACGGTTGTGTATACGAGACACACGAATTTTTGTGATGTACATCTCATATACACTACTCAAAAAAAAATAAGAGAGCAAGAAAAAAATCCAAATTTTTCGCCAACTGATCTTATCGAGATTTTGAAAACAGGATACAGAAGCAGAACGAACAGGATATCTGACACATCAGAAAATATGTTTTTCAAGCCCGTGGACTACAAGGAAGAAGGTGAAAGTTTTGCAAACAATTTTTCTTGCATGAGATCCGTTGCTCCTATAATTGTCCGGCTAAAAATCTGGAAACTAGAATCTTGAAGCTTCAAACGCTTTTTTAGAGTCTAGATACCACCATTTATATATATACCAGCTTCGGCACTCTGTGATTTAACAGACAATATAACAATGGCACTTGATAACCAAAAAGCAGTAGCTCTCATACTTCTTGACTTTACTAAAGCATTTGACACCATTAATCACTCACTTCTTGTATCTAAATGCAGTTACTATGGATTTTCTGAAAAACCTCTTTCGTTTATTCAAACCTACCTTGAAAATCGGTATCAAAAAGTTCGTCTAAATCAACAGTACTCTACGGAACAAAAAATTTGTTCTGGTGTACCACAGGGATCAGTCTTACGACCGCTATTATTTTCATTATATATCTCAGATTTAGAAACAGAGGTAAAATCATGCAGCATACAATTTTTTGCAGATGATACTCAAATTTTCTATTCATTTAGGAGTAATGACTTGCAAACGGCAAATAATAAAATTAATCAAGATCTTGTCCAAATTGAAAAGTTCAGTAGTAGTCATAATCTTCGTTTGAACACTTTGAAGACAAATATGTTAGTATACGCAAATAGAACAAAAAAGAATACCTTAAAAAAGGACATAGACATACATTTAAAAGGTAATAAATTAATTCTTGTGGATCATTCGAAAAACCTAGGTATTATAATGGATGATGACTTAAAATTTGATGCACACGTGAACTATCTAATTACTCAGTGCTACGCTATTCTAAGAGTTTTATTTGCAAATAAGGCTATATTACATAAATCTGCGAGAAAGCAATTGTGTGAATATTTCGTATTTTCGAAGATATCCTATTGCTTAGTGGTTTACTATCCCTAATTAGATATTATAACAAGAAATCGTATTCAAAGTATTATGAATACATGTTGCAGGCTTGTAAATGATCTCAGAAAATATGATCATATATCGAATGCCATTAATGAACTCAAATGGATGAAAATTGATAAGATGTATAAGTACCAGCTCCTAAATCTGACTCATAAGGTTCTTTATTCAAAGACACCGTCATATTTAGTAAACAAATTCATACGTAGAGGGAATATGCATCGTATTAATATTATATATAGAGAGACTTTTTCAATTCCACGCCACAGCACTTCTCTATTTCAGAATTCATACATTTACAATGCGATCAAATCATATAATTCTTTAGACCGCAGTTTAAAAGAAACCAATCCATTATCCAAATTCAAGAAAAAAGTGAAAGAAGTTCTTCTTGATCAGCAGCGAAATCGGTTGTAACCCATAAGTGTCCTCATATTTTACTTATGTATTTACTTGGATTATTTCATTATTGTATACAGGTGCCTATTAATTTTCAACAAATTCTTTTTTTTACATCTCGTATTGTTAAGTGGGTTAGATGGTAGAATAGATATATAATCTAAATCTCGCCTCCTGTAAGAATATTACAAATAAAAGACGTTAATTATTATTATTATTTTTCATCGAAATACAGTCTGTCAATGATTACTGAAAAATTTAGATTTTTTCTTGCTCCCTTAACTTTTTTGAGTAAAAGACATACTAACTCATTTCTGAAATGTTGTGAAATTAGATACTGAGTGATAAAAAAAGGTAAACACTTACGTATGTTTATTAGAATTAAGACTTCTGGCTTTGAGAGACAGATTTAGTAGTATTCGAGCCATCGCTAATCAGTGGTTTGAAGAGCATGGAAGGCTGCTTGGTATGCGTACGGTATATCGTCGAATACGACAGTTTGGCGTTTTTTCTTATCGCCCACATTACTCAGTATAATACTGCCTCGCCAGTGGGCGTGGGAAGTAAAAATATAATTGTATATTGTGAACCTAACTGCAATTGGCGAGAAAGTATTTTGTAGCAATCTGGATGTGCCTCCTCATTTTTCATATGTTCGTTATGATTGCTCAATAAATATTATTCTAATATCTATGTGCATTTCTCATTTACGAGGGATGTCTTTTAAGTTTTGCATATAGAAACATAGTAGGCCGCGCGGATAGAACGTCATTACTGAATCTTAACCTCACTCTTTAGTAAACTTAAATTCAAAGTTTCACAACTACAGTGAATTTTTGTGTCAGCAAGTCATTAAGAAAATGGAACTCAACCGAGAACATTTTCGCGCCATAATTTAGTACAACTTTCAGAGACAATTATCGCAACAAGAATGCCTTGCTGAGTTACTGTCTATTTTCGGCAACGAAGCGCCACATCAGTCGACAATTTCTCGTTGGTATGGAGAATTCAAACGTGGACGGGTGAGTCTTAGCGACGATCCCAGCGTGGGTGCACCAAAAACGGCAGTCACCCAGGAAAACGTCGATGCTGTGCGCAAACTCATCATTGAAGATAGACATGTGACATATCGCGAGATTGAGGTGTCCTTGAAGATCTCAAAGACCTCAATTCAAAAAATTTTATATGAAGAATTAGGAGTAAGAAATTAGTTTCTCGTTGGATACCCCACCTGTTGACGGAAGAGCAGAAAGCAGCCAGGGTTAATTGGTGTCAAAAAACGCTTGACCGTTTCAATTCCGGAAACTCAAAAAATGTGTACAGCACTGTTAGTGGTGATGAATCGTGGATTTACTGTTATGAACCAGAAAATAGACGACAGTCGGCTGTTTGGGTGTTCCAAGGTGAAGAAAAACCAACAAAACTCATCTGTTCTCGAAATGTTTCCAAAAAGGTCAATGGGGTTCCGAAGTTTGTTACTTTAAACGCATAACTGAACCCAATAACAGACCAAATTGTCATGAGAGACTTAAGCTAAGGTGCTCCTACCAGAACGTTCGTGGTCTCAATTCTAAGACGGTGTCATTCTTTAATGCAGTCAGTGACTACGAATTTGATTTAATTTGCTTGACTGAGACGTGGCTGTCTGTGAATGTGAGTGATAGTGATTTATTTCCGGCTGAATACTGTGTGTTCAGATGTGATCGTGGCTTTATTCGATCTGGCCTAGTTTCCGGCGGAGGAGACCTGATAGCCATAAAACGCGATCTCCATGCAATTAGAATTGACGCTAGTAGTGCTTTGAGTCGAAACTTTCCGTCGATTGATACTGTATGTATTAGGCTTATTATTAACCATGAGCATTTTGTTATCTTTATTTATGTTCTGCCTTTAATTAATTTGGACATGTTTGGTCAGTACCTCGAAGCTTTGGAAGTATTTAACAATGCATTCAGTAATTGTAAAATAATTGTTGCTGGTGACTTTAATGTCGCATCATTCAACAGTGACGTTAATGATCAGAAGTCTCAATTAATGAGCAACTTTATTTCGTTTTTAGATTTAACTAATTTTAATAATATTCCAAATATAAATGGTCGAATACTGGATTTAATTTTAGGAAATATCGAAATAGAAGTCCTTAGAGATAATACACCTTCTGTTAAAGAGGACGTTCATAATCCTGCACTGATCATGGAATTCATTACATCCGGATCTCCAACGAAATTCCCATTTTCTCATTCTCCACGGTTTAACTTTCGCAAAGCTAACTTTCCTGAAATGTACACAGCCTTGCAAGATGTTGATTGGACGGAGGTGATCAGTGCAGTTAATGTTGATGTCGCTTGTACCGCCTTGTATTCAGTTATCAATAACATCTTTGAGGTCCATGTCCCTAAATGTAAAAATAAAATGCTTTCGTATCCCCCATGATTCACCCGTGAAATTATACTTAATATCAAGAAGAAGGACATAGCAAGAAGGAACTGGAAACGTGACGGTACTAAGTTTTCTTATGATCAGTTCAGTAATTTTAGGAAGCTCATTAAGAACCAGATCAGTATTGCCTACTCCGCTTAGGTCCAATCGGTTGAGGATGCCATTGTCGATGATCCTAGCAAATTCTGGTCATTTGCCCAGATCAAAAAACAGCAATCTAGAATCCCCCCAAGGATGACGCTTAACGGCAATATCTGCGATACGCCTCAGGATATGGTGGACAGTTTTGCTACCTTCTTTCCAACAGTTTTTATCCCGTCTGGTCTACTAGGGTCATCTCCTCCAAAAAATAATTCTACCGATATCATTTCTTTAAAAAATATGAGTGAAGAAAACGTAATTAGGGCTTCGAAAAGATTAAAGAACAAAATGACGTCTGGATGTGATGGTATTCCAAGTTTTTTCGTTAAAGATTGCATTCATATACTAGCGAAACCACTGGCTTCCATATTCAACCTAATTCTAAAATCAGAGACATATCCAAATATCTGGAAGACCTCTAAAATATGTCCTATTCACAAAAGTGGAGATATCTCTGATATTTCCAACTATCGCCAAATAGCAATCCTGTGCAATTTCAGCAAGTTTTTTGAGATCATCGCCAATGAAACGGTTTACTGCTCGGTCAGAGGTGCAGTCTCTATTAATCAGCATGGGTTTATGAGAGGCAGATCTACTGTCACCAACTTGGCTCTAATTACTCAGTACATTTCTGAAGTACTGGACGGTCAGGGACAAGTTGATGTCATCTACACAGATATTCAGAAGACGTTTGATCAAGTTGATCATTATGCACTTCTGGATAAGCTTAAAACAGTGGGTATGTCTGATGCAATGCTGTCGCTCATGAATTCATATTTGAGGGATAGAAGGTTATTTGTCGAATATGGTGGTCATAGGTCGAGTTACTATCGGGCCACGTCCGGGGTACCTCAAGGGTCAAATCTAGGTCCATTATTGTTTTTGATATTTATCAATGACTTGTCTTTCGAACTGAAGTGTTTCCATTTGCTTTTCACTGATGACCTTAAAATCTGCACGTCAGTCAAGACAGTCGAGGATTGCGTCATGCTGCAAGATGATTTAGCTCTAATTTCGTCATGGTGTTCACGAAACTGTCTCAGTCTGAATGTTTCGAAATGTAAAGTTATGACTTATACAAGAAAGGTTAACTATTTAATTTATGATAATTATAACATCAAATAGACAGATGCACCTCTTATAGAGACCTTGGAGTCACTTTTGATACCAAGCTAACGTTTACTGAGCATATACTCAATATCTCGTCGGCTGCCACTCGACTACTTGGTTTCTGTATCAGAAACTGGAAGGGTTTCTCCAATGTTGATACATTAATGACTTTATTTTTTACTTTTGTCAGGAGCAAGTTGGAGTATGCGACTCTGATCTGATCTCCTATATACCAAAATTCTGTCGAGATCCTTGAGGCCATTCACCTTAAATGCACAGGTTATTATCCAGAAAGAGGTTGTGGCCATAGTGCCCTATTAGAGTTTTTCAATTTGGATTCACTGTCAACAAGACGAAACATATTTGCTTTGTCGTTTTTGTATGGCCTCATTCACAATAAAATTGACTGTCAAAATTCACTTGAAAAAATATGTTTGCGCGTTCCAAGGCTAGGGAGTCGACAACAAACGGCATTCTATTGTCAAGCTGGCCGTACAAATGTTATGACAAAATCGCCAATTAATCTCATGTGCTGCGTCATAAACAGTGTTACTGAATCGTGTGATATTTACAGTGACAGTTGTGCATCGATTATTAACTGCTATAGATCATCCAATCTTATTTAGAATGTGTGAGATTTAAGTCCAAGAACCACGTATCTTTAATTGTTATTTTTTTAGCGTTTCCTGTAATTGGGTTTCACCTGTTGGAAATAAATAAATAAAATAAAATAAAATAATAAAAGATGATCGCGAAATTTGTGTCAAAATTGCTACAATTCCTCTTAATGAGCAAGGAACTGTTACTGCGGATTGGTATACCACCACTTTTTGCCAAAAGTCATCACCGAGCTTCGAAAAATCAACCCCGAAAGAAGAATCATCCTCCACCAAGACAATGCAAGCTCGCACACAGCCCAAAAAACAACGCAGTATTTAACGGAAGAAAACGTGGAATTATTGGACCATCCTCCATATAGTCCCGATTTAAGTCCTAACGATTTCTTTACTTTTTCGAAAATTAAAAACAGACTGCGTGGTCAAAGGTTCCAGTCACCAGAAGAAGCAGTTGACGCATTCAAAAATGCCGTTTTGGATCTGCCAGCAAACGAGTGGAATAAGTACCTCGAAAATTGGTTCGAGCGCATGCAGATGTGTATTAATCTTTGTGGAGAATACTTCGAAAAACAATAAAGTCATTTAAAACTACCTACCGTGTTGTTTTATTCCCATATGCAAAACTTAAAAGGCATCTTCCGTATGTCTACTTGTCTGTCCTCTATTACCTGTCCGGTAATCTTTGGCACTTCAATATGTTTTTTACGAAAATTTTAGACAAGATTATCATGCCAGGGACGACACATTTTTGTATCGGTCCAGTAGCGATGAAGTTATGAATGAAAAATGAGAAATTTCAAAAGGATCCGAAATCGTTTCCTCGTTAAACATTATGCAATTCTATTAAATCGTTGATCTATTTATTGAAACTAAACTCCAGAATAATTATGTGACGAACCATGTAGCACTTTAATATGTACATCAAATTAATGCGACTGTTTAATTGTATAGAGTATTTCATCAGTTTGAAAGCCTAATTTCAGGAACCTATTATTTGAGTGTTATCAGTCCACAGTTCATGTTTATGTTTTCCCACGTGGCTAGCCATTATTATACAATTCACACTATTTCCTTTTACTTCCCACGTCGACCGACGAGAAAGTACTGTAATTGCTAAAATAATCTACAGTATATTCAGATAAGAGATAGACCGGATGTAAACAAAAGGTTCGGGTGATTTTCACGCTAACGCCGCCGTCTCGACGTAAAACAGGAGCCCTCATTGGTCAATTCGCAATTAAATGCCTATGCCTAGCGGCAGAGCAGTCGTATCAAGGCAGAGTCACATTCAGGTTCAGACGTGTTACGTATGTCGTGTGCATCATTGCAATTTGATATTTCTTTGGACGTTTTCGTTTGTTATCTTATTAAGTTGTTGAGTTTGTCGTTGTTATTGTTATACCTTGTTATTGATTGTTATTGTTATCAACTGCTTGCGCAAAATGCCCAGTAGTACAGATACTGCCGATGAAGTTGTAAACTCCTGTAGTCCACCTAGAAAACGCTCTAAAAAAAGACACCTGAGTGCAGAAATGAAAGAGGTCATTTTGAATATATATAAGATCGAGCGCGAGGAGAACGAGGCATCAACCATCAAAGAAATTGTCGTGAAGGTTTCTCACACAGTTGGGGTGTGTCGCGCATCAGTGTTTAATGTGTTAAGACAATACAAAAAAAATCACACCTTTTCTGAGCCAATGACCAGTAAACATCGCAAAAGTATTGTTAAATCATTGGATGAAGCTGATAAGCATGCGATTAGGAGGAAAGTGCATGAATTCTTCTTTAGGAATGAAATACCTACTATAGATAAAGTACTGCAGGAGGTAAATGGAGATACAACGTTGCCAAATTTCAACTTTCCATGCGTTACTGAAGCATTTAAATTTCAAATGGAAAAAACGGGGTCGTAATAGTTTACTACTGGATAGAGAAGAAATTGTGCTATGGAGGAGGGATTATTTAACAAAAATTGGGAAATATAGAAATCAAAACAGGAAGATTTATTACCTTGATGAAACGTGGGTAAACGCAGGACACACTACAAGTATAGTATGGGTTGATGATTCTGTAACTTCATCCAGGAGGGCCTTCCACCGGATTAAAAAATCCAGCAGGTAAATACGAGTAATAGACAACAATCGGATGTTTTTCAAACCTTGGGAACAAGGTTCTAAACATTAATTCCAGGGGGCAGATAAAACATATTACAAGTAACAAAACTTTTATAACTTTCGATAAAATGCGTGGATGTTTTATTGTCATTTTCATTTGTTAGAACTTTTTTAAGCCATGTTTTTATGTGTTTTCGATATTTCAATAATTTTTTAATATAATCTTAAAATATGTCGAATATTATAAACTTAAAAAAAGTTACTAAGTTTTATATTGTGTACCGTTCCTAATATTTCTAATCATTTTAATTCATACTTTAAGCTTTATAAAGTTATAATTTGTTAATATTAATATTTGCGCGTATTTCAGGTTCCTGATCATTCATTTTTTAAAGGTTTATAACTTTAAATTAAATTGTGAAGCGCTGAGTAATCATACGACGTTCAATATTCTTTCTTTCAATATGACTAAATAATCCCAATTATAGCAATCTGATACTCATGTCTCAATGTTTTTTCGCTGAATGTGATGAAAAGATTTGAAAAAGGTTCGCTTATTGAAATAAATCTACACCAGTTAGTACTTCGATTTCCAGGTAAAGGGAAAAGGCTCATTATCTGCCATATTGGCAGTGAGGATGGATTTGTTGTTGACGGTCTGTGGTGCTTTGAGTCTAAGAAAACTGGAGATTACCACGAGGAAATGAATGGCGAATCGTTTGAACAGTGGTTTTCAAAAATTTTACCGAACTTAGAGGAAAACGCAGTAATTGTGTTGGATAATGCGACTTATCATTCTCGAAGAATGGAGAAGGTCCCAACAACGGCTTCAAGGAAAGTTGATGTTCAAAATTGGCTCCGCTCGAAAAATATCAACTTTGAAGAAGCAATGCTGAAAGTACAATTATTAAGAATTGTCAAGGATCACAAGGCGGAATATCAAAAATACGCCATTGACGAAATGGCAGCAAGTCAAAATAAAACTGTGCTCCGTTTACCTCCATACCATTGCGAGCTCAATCCCATTGAGCTCATATGGGCAGAGGTTAAAAATTATATAGCTAAGCACAATACAACTTTTAAATTTTGTGACCTCAAAGGACTTTTCAAAGAAGCACTAGAATTAATAACAGCGCAAAAATGGGAAAACTGTATTAAGCACGTGAAAGACAAAGTTGAAAAGAGAGAAGAAAGAACTGGACAATATTTTAGAGGAACAAGTCGAGCCATTCATTATTGACGTTGGTGCTTCAGGCAGTAGCTATGATGAAAGCTCATCAAGCTCATATTTCCAATAAAAGATGTCGTTCATCAAATTCGGTAAGTTATAGGTAATTATAAAGCTACTGTATTTTTTAATTAATTATTGACATTTTTGAACCCATTTTGACAAAACCTATTCAAGAATCTACTTTCTGACAATGTTCAACCATGCACATTTTTTTACGTTTTGAACGTTTTAATTTGGTTACATATTTACCTAGAAATCAAAAAATATACTAATCAATATTCTAAAAGCAATTTTAAAAGATATACGATTATTTTTAATTTAGGCAAATTTAAACGCCATTTTGAGATTATATTCGACTGTATTTCACCAAACATCAGGCGGCATCCGAAGCTGGAAATCGAAGCGAAAATTTTGAAACCCTTATGTATATTTACATCATTATATATTTCTTACCCCACCCCCACATGATCCTATATCCATCACCAATCGTATACACATCGAATTGTGCTAATTTACTACAAAGTTACGCAAAGCAGCATCTACTATCTAAAATATGTACTGCGTGACTCTTAATACGTCCCTGCCGAATGTTACAGCGTTCGATGATCACGTGGTCTTGTTTATGTCCGGTCTATCTCTTATCTGAATATACTGTAAAATGAGATATTATTTTTGGTTGTTCATCGACTCATTTGTCTGTCTGTCGGTCTGTCCTGTAATTCGTGACGCGTCTGTATCTTGAGAAGTACCACCCGGATTTTGATGAAACGCGTACACAAGGTTACTTGTATTCCAAGGACAAAGAAGCTTTGTAGTCTTTGTTGAAATCGGCCAGGGACGGTGGCGAAAAATGAGAAAGACGAACTAAATTAAAAATCACTCAAAGCTCACCCTTTGACGTTTCAGAGGGGGGTCCTGAATATTTTTGACAAAAATTCTAGAGTAAAAAATTGGGGAGGGCCCGGAAGGATGTATCGTAATTATTTCCTAAGCTGCTAGACTAAGCCTGTGGTTCCCCTCGCGTGGAAGTAGTGTAAAGTATTACTTATTTGTGTTACTGTGGATGAGATTGGTTTCGGAGAAATAAATGCAGTATACAAAGTAATGCAATGGTTAGTTTAGATCATAAAGAGTCTTAAAACTTATTACCGAAGTATAATGCTCAAATTCCTGGTAGTAAACATTGAGACTGCTGGTATAGCTGTTGAGTTAATGAAGAAAATTACATCGTTGGATGCAGTTTATATGGCAAAAGCCGATTGGGACCAAGTAACCCAAGAAACAGTGCAAAATTGCTTCCGCAAAGCAGGATTTAAGCATCAAAATATGCAAAGTGAGTACCAGTTGATACACCTGACTCAGAAGATGACCTACCACTTAATTTAATATCAGATATCCTCAAAAATAAAAAATTATTGAAACTGACTGACAATGAAAACCTTTATGACTTTTTGAACCTAGATGAAAGTTTGTAAATATGTTGAGGATTCAGATTCACGCCAAGAAATTGAAAATCCAGTTGGAATACAAGAACTTTGCGAAGATTCTGATGCCGATGAGGTTCCAGTACCAACAGAAGCTATTCCAAATTATGGTAGTTATTACTCTGACCAAGCAGCTCAAAAGTTTTGTCGAAAATCTGTCTTTTGAGATGCTTTCTAAGTTAGAAATATGATCTGAAGACGCCATTTTAAAGAAACAGAGGAGACAAACGATAATTTATGAATTTTTGCGTACTTAAAGTGACTTTTTATTTCAATGTTATGTGTACCTGTATAGGTAGGTTTATGTATATATATACAGGGTGGCCAAACACGTGACGTCATAAAAAAAAATTAGATTCCCCACATCGAGAGGAACCCAAATCACCCTCATATATATGGTCCGATTTTGTTTAGTTTAGGAGTTATGGTTTTTTTTCGGATTTTTCGAGAATTTTTGAGTTCTGTGTTTATTTTTACCATAACTTCGTTAATAATTGTGATAAATGCCTGCTTTTTTCACGATTATGTAGCTAAGACCTAAGGCTTAACTATTATATAATCATTCAAGTCATGTAACTAATACTACTTTT